CCCGTCCAGTAGTAGATAACATGTTTTATACCATAGTTTATTGACCACGCATTATTTGTGTGGGTTCGAATATAACACAAAAACCTAACACGGCGGTATGTGTATGCAATTTCGGTACATTTATGTCTTTTTTAACGTTATAAAAGTATCAAAAGATTTTAATGTTATTAATTAATAGCGTTTAAATTAGAATACGCGGATAAACGCGAAAATGGGTAAGTCAGCATTTTGTCTAAAACTAATGATGTACGTAAAGAAATTTATCTCACATCGAATTTATGCAGATAACCCAATAACGACGACGGTGTGAATTGTCCATATAGCTGTTTCCATTGGCTGTCATATCGTTATTGTTATTATTATTATGACTATGATTTTGGCTGCTAACGTCAATCAGCCGTCACTAAAAATTGCTTTTTATTTTTAATTAATTCAACGAATTATCAAATTCTTCTTTTTATTATACTTATGTATTTATTTTTCGTTTCATTTTCACTTGTCAGAGCGCACCCCTCGTCTATAGTGGGATTTAATGGATATCCGGACGATATTAAAACGTCCTGTTTGACTGATGATTTGCTGCACCGTCGACACCTAGCCGACTTCTATCGTTGCCATTGTTAAACGGGCCTCACCCAAGCGGCAGTGTCAAAAAGACCAACCGAGAAGTGAGGTCAAACTTTCATTACAGCCAAACACCAATCTACCCCGGTACACACACAAACACACATATTATTATTATTTTATATAATTGTATGTATATTCCAATATTGAAACCTCTATCTAGTCGCTGAACAATTCGTTGACGATTAAAAACTTTTAATTATAATATTAAAAATTGATGAATATTTGGTTACTTTTGAAATGTAATTAAATTTATGCAATATGCCATAATCGTTTCAAATGCACGAAAAAGAAGGGAAGTAAAATTTTACTAAAAAACAAGTACCGACTATAGTATAATAAACTTTCTCACCCCTCGACGTATGAAACACGAGCAATTTTCTAAGGTACTAATTTAGGGGTTTCTAGCTAGTACACCCAAGTTTTCGCGGAATTTTGCCTATAAGTAAAAACAGAAGTATTCTGTAATGGAAACATTTAATTTGGCTAATTTGGCAACTTCCCAAAATAAAATATTGTAGTCTGTTCAATTTTAATTATTCAAATAAAGAAGTTTAATTAAAATAATTTATATTAAATGGTATGAAAGCATATGATAGGCACATCGTACATATTAAAATAATTATAATATGAATAGGTTATGGTTCTTTAAATTGGAGTGGTTCACTGTTGTAATATAATTTTGACTTCCTATCAAGTACACTAAACTATAGTGATATTATAGTTTTTTTTCTTCAAAAATTTTATTTTTAAAATTGTAATATTTTAAAATGGTAAATTGTTGATATACGCTATGTTTTAAGAAAAACTGGGTAATAAAAAACAACTTGTGTGCCTCTTTCCATATTTTTCAACAGAATTTCTCCAGTAAAGAAATAAAGTAGTTTTCTTTTTTTGTTGATCTGACGAACATATAAATGTACAAGTTTGTCGTTATATTCTTTTGAAAGCCCTTTTTTTATATGATTTATCAGGAATGGCTGTCGCATAATTCAGCTTACTTTTTTTTATATTCTACATGATCAATAGGATTACTCATAGTACACCAGTTCTTCTGCAGTAGACGGATCAAAGAAGTAAACTGTCATAAGGTAATGCACATTTACATTTATAGACTCCAGTGCATATATAAAAAGAAAATCTACCTTTGAAAGAATTTCGCAGCATTTTAGAAAATATTTGACTATGACTGTTAAAATATTTAAACTAGGACTATAATCATAGTTTACTTTGAACAACCCCTTCTTTTAACAAGATGGTATTAGAACAAATTGCTATTTTTGTTTAAACCATTGTCCCAAGCAAGTGAGTCAACTTATTTTTTGATCGACCAATAATTTTGCTTCCTATTCAACCCATTCCTACTACAAAATCCTACTTATTTTATAGCTTGCTCTATTTACCACCGCTATAATGATATTCCCATGGACCGTTTAAACTTATTCCACTGTGTGAACTACAATATAAATTCTTATGAATTAGTTTATATTATTGTTTATTTTTTTATAATGTAAACGTTCAATTTATTTATATTAAATTAATGTTTTATTTTTTGTATTATCGTTTACACGTTTTTTTTTACGTCAAAGCTGTTTAGAGTTTAATTGTCTAATTTACCTATTTTGTCTGTTAAAAATGCAAAATTAACTAAAAACAAATGGTTTAGATTGTGTGCGCGTGGAGAACTACTTTTCCATACCCTCGAAGTGCTTTGAAAATAAACAGTCCTATTATAGTGTAAATAACATGTAAATTTTACAACGAACCTTTTTTTTTATTGTAGCCTAAGCCAAGAAAAAATAAATGTATTCTATTTTTATCGTGTTGTTCAATTTAATCAGCAATGACACGTGTTAGCATATTTTAATATTCGTAGGAAAAGTAGGAGAAAAATTGCGATTTCAAATTACAGTGCAACGTGGTGATTGCAATGAACCGAAAAATAAAAACAATTTTGGACATACCTAGCTGAGCGCGTGTATATGTATACTTATGTATTGAAAAGATAAAATCGGCTTATCATCATAAAATGCTGCTGGTCCGTACGTGATTCGACTACCTACTTAAACAGTCTTCGCCACGCTGTCGGACAGAGGCATTTTAACACACAAACTTCTGGTTAGTACAGATATTATAAATCCGACGACTTCATGCGATCTGGGTTTTCAAAGAAGAAATTATTTTACGCTATATCGTTATTAACAGTCTGACGCTCCTCTTTTTCATCGTTTCATGCCTAGTTTTATTCAAATATACATAATGTAAATATTTAAAGATATTAAAAATATAATAAATAGAAGTAAGTAAGAAAAGTAATTTGGAAATGTCTACGCCAAATAACTGTTAAGTCAGCTCAAAAACAATTTCGAGTGATGTATTTACTATTTAAAATTTTTATTATAATATTATGTTACACCCAGAATGTACTTTATAAAAAAAACTTATATCAAAGAATATAATATACATTTAGAAAATATAAATACAAAATGTTCTCAGCTTAGGTTTATTTTCTAAACTAACACACTTTGTTATACGTAAATCAATTTTTAAAGTTCAAAGCCAAAAACATCAAAAGCCATTTTTTTATGGAATTTTCTCATAGTAAAAAATTCTGAAAACTATTATTTATTTATATAACACTATATAATAGCCTAGCGACATTTTTTGCTCACTTCTATTGATTTTTTTACTGTTGGATGTATAATGTTACATGCTTTATTTTACACCTTATTAAAATGGTACTTGTGTATTTTAACACTATTATTTCGCCACTATAGGACCATAGTCACGTATCAACCAAATGCATATAAATCAGAAGATGATAAATTCAATTTAAAATACAGGTACATACGCATACATTTACCAACCAGTTTACAATTATCTTCCGGTACTGATAAATGGTTTTACCACCAAATTCTGGGGAAAACTGGTATATATGTGTTAAGCCCATTTTGGTTGATACGTCAGTATGCTCTACGATGACAATTTATTACAAGTTAAAGTGGTAAGTACCTATTCGATTTAGTTTTATTAGTTTTGATGTTCGGTATTATTTATCATTGTATGGCAAATAGATACTCGCAATATGCTCTTAATTAATAAACTTAAAAAGAAACATTTAAAGTAGTACTATATATAATATATTTATATATATTTTTTTTTCACAAAACCACTGGTTTAAAAATAAAATGCAAAATAATAATGATTCTGCAATATTATTGTAATTATTTCATAATATTAAATATAAAATTGTTTTTTTATAATTGTCGTGTTTAATAGTGTTATACAAAGTAGAATCTCATTAAAAAAACTTTACTGTATAGATGAGTAAGAACATTATAAATCGAATTTCTGCGAAAGAGACTTATAATATTATCTTTTCTTCATTAAGTTTATTCTGATAATTAAAAAAAATCCGGTTCATTTGTAATACTTTTTAAGATTTATTGTATTTTTAAGATTAAAAGAGTATATATTTACAAGTCAATAACTAATTTATTTATTTAAATATTTGCACAAGTCGTCTGTTTTTTTTCAATTATTCCAAATGTTTTATATTTTCAAGTGAACGTTAAATCATAAATCATTTAGTAGGTATAATGTTATAGGTACAAATAATACGCCAGCAATGCAATAATTGTGCGATTCCTAAATAAAGAGACACCCATTATTAATTATTTACACATCATATTTAGGTATCGATGCGAGGCTGTAAAAGTAGTATTTGATATTTTGTAAAGGTAATAATTTTATAATGATGCGTTTTTTTCTAAATACATTTCATATATGCTGATCAATGTATTCAAGAAAGTCGTTGTTTGTAAATAAGAGTTGTAAAAAAATGTAAACGATAGGACTGGTTTCAAAAAACAAAAGTGATTTAACATCCATTTGACAAGTCTAAAGATTTTTTTTATACCTTAACCAGAATGTTGATAGCATATTAATTTAATATTCTAATATTTTTTTTTTTATACTATCCCATTTTTATAATTGTTTCGATATTTGGTTTTCAAATAAAAACCAAAACTAATACTATATTCATTAAAAAACTTAATGTATTCTACTAAATGAATCAACTTGTCAATCAACAATTATGTATAACTAATTATGTTTTCTCGCCAAATAAATTATATATTTGCGACAGTTATCAAGCGTTGAGGGTATAATAAATTATTTTACATTCCCTTATGCATTTTCCAAAGGTGTTGTGATTGTGCGAATATTATAATTTTTTCCAATTTTTGTCTACACTTTTTGTTGCGTGTATGATTTTTTTTTTTTTGTAATAGACATCAAAATGCTTGTACGTTTTTACTTTTTTATGTTAGTCTACTATAATTATTCAATGAAGTAAATTATGCACTACGACTTACCGATAACAGACAAATTGTAACGAAAGCTCTTTGTGGCAGAGTTTCGGAAATCGACTCGACATCTGTAAACTCCTTCGTCGTTCCGGTTTACTTCATCCACATTAAGACACGCCGGTTCTGTAACCGTCCGAAAGGTGGCACGACTGCCAAAAACTTCCGGTGCCGAAAAATGACGAGCCTTGTTCAGTGGCATGCCTCTAACGTCAAAACTGTAAACATAGTAATATCATACGGTATTAACGGTTTGTGTAAATTATAAAAACTAACGCGTTCAAAAATACTCAATAAACATTATTATTATAAGCCTTACCGAACGTTATTTATTTTTATCGCTAAAAAATCACAAATATTTTTAGCTTCGATGCAGAGCTGACAAGGTTTTATTATTTATTTTTATTGAATGTGTACCCACGATAACTCGTGAAAATACCAAAATAGCTAAGACATTTTTTAACTTAACGGCGCGTTATAATTTTTCGAAAAAGTCGATAAGCTCTTAGCTTATTTGGGATATTTTTCAGATACAATAGGTACTAAAAATAAAAAATAAAAAAACAATAAATACCAAACAAATTTACTTCAGAGAAGATAAAATATGTTATATCCAGAAAAAAAACCAAACAAATTTACGCATTTTCAATTTTAATTATGGCAAACAATAAATTATCGCATGTGACCGAAAAATACGATTTTTGTTTTTGATATAGTACTACCGGTTTACAGTGAAAACTCAAGAAAATACAATTAATCATTTCTCCAAGAAGGGATGGAAAATTGTTCATTATTTTGCTTTTTCAGGGATAGTTTTTGGAAGGCATCCGTACTCGCATTTTTTTATCGAGAAAAGCTCAAAATTTGTTATTTATAATTAATTGTATTCGTTACGTGGCACAACAATAAACACCTTACGAATAAAAAACAGTCCGAACCGTATCTAGTGTAGAACTATGAAGTTACGTCAAGCGCTTGTTATAAGAATGCTGTCAATTTAATAAAGAGTAAAACAGAAGACAACATCCTAAATAATCTCGCCTAATGTCTGAACAACTAACAACTAAAAACAACACATTAAAATTTATCATAGCCACCAAAGTGTACAAAACTATTTAGAAAATAAATTGCAATCTTTATGTTTTCCCTTAATTAAGGCATTATATACAAAATTAAATTTGTAACAACCCAATATCGGGCAATGGCCATTGTATTGTAGGCCTTTTTTTCAATAAAAATAAAAGAACTGTATATGGTTGGTCCGGTATTATATTATGTACTTTCATTTTAATCCAGACCAATGGTTGCCTTCCCTTACGAAATATAATTGAATTCTCTCTCGTCCTCTTTTGCTCTATAGGCCATAGTCTTTAGCTCTCATCCCGTGCTAGTAGAGCGAATGCGACCTTTTTAGGGTAAGAAAAGATTATGAGCCCTAGTAGTAGTCGTAAATTTCCAAGCCAATTAACAGATAAACCGGATAGCGCTGGGTTTTGCATGTTAATATCGTTGCCGGGCGTTAATAATTAGTAGTAGGTCTTCACTTGAAAAGGGTGGACGATGGGAAAAGACACGGTGCAAAGGGTTGGGGAACGGGTTTTCCGCTCATTACATTCACTGCCGGTTTCTGTTATAATAGTATTGGTTTTTAATTTGTCCCCGAAATGCCGCAAGGATCTTTGAATCTGACGCACTTACGCGAGTAACCTGCATTTAAAATATATATCGGACTTTGCAAAGGTGTTACTTTTTCAAAGTGCATATTTTATACATAAAACTCATAAGAAAATGTAAAATTTGATATGAATTCATGTATTAACATTAGCCTCTGATAGCAGAAAGTAGTTTTTGGCATGCTTGCTTTTTTGTGTTTTAATACTAATAAGGTAACTAAAAAATGTATATATCTTTTACTCGGTGCTTACTTTGCATATCTAACTTTGATAGCTTATATAAGAATGGCAAATCTTATTAATTCATTTAGATAACCCGTTTTAAGTATATTATAATAGGTTAAACGACCAAAGAACATTATTATATTATTTTAAACTCATTAACGTTCAAGCTTAATTAAATTATAATTATAAAAGCGTCATTATAATATCTTTTGGCGTTAAAATTAAATTGTTGTTTTTATAAAATATTACAATTATAATCTATTTACTTTAGAAAACCCCTTTGAAATAATTAAATAATTATTTTGAAACATAATAGTTCTTGTACAAAAATACCATAATACAATATAAGCATTTTTAATTACAACCCAAATATAAAAGTATACATGTAAAAACAGTTTTTTTTGACATAACTATAAATACATTTGTACATGAGTATTGTTCGCGATTTCATAAAGGGTAATTTATTGGTTTTACATAAAACAAATTTATACTCAGATTTAATTGAAAATACACAATAAAAAAAATAGTTTGGGCAATTCAAATGCTAATATGTAACAATTAATAAGCAAGACTCAAAGGCTATTATGGTTCAATGATTTGTATTCGGCAGTATCTGTATGAAAAAATGCTCTGCGCCGCTTTATTGTAATTAAAAAGTATAAATATTAAAAATACAGTATAAAATATTGCTATCATAAATTAAACGGGTATTGAAAGGTAACAAAAAATCTAAATTATTTTTATTAATAAATAAAAAACCCCTTATTGTAAGCTGGATCCTGGCCGGATTTGCTTGTTCAATATACAGTAATAATTAAAAAAATCCAGTGCAGTCATGTGATCAGTACACTCGTTGATGTATAGGAAATATTAGATTTTATTGTGGTAAATTTACTTTCAAAAAATATTTTCAGATAACGGAATAAATTCTTATTAAACCATAAAAACATATTGGTTTTTTTTAACAAGCTTTTTAACGTTTATGGGGTTTTCAATAAAATAAATATATTAACTTTATATTTTTGATAGTATTAATATATTCTATATACTAATTAAATGTACTTTTCGAACTCTAAATTTGTAATCCTACAAGTTCTAAAAACTGAGCTCAGATGAGAAATACCATTCGATAACATAATGTACAAAACAAATAATAAATAGCCATGTGTGTAGTGTGTACATGCAAAATGCATTAACAGTAAAAATGAACTTGACTAGAATTTTACTTTTGTTAGTTATTATTTTTGTTTGTGAACTGTGTCAAAAAAAACCATGTATATTTTTTCATTCTAGGCCACTGACATAAATTATTGGGGGTTACGGGTTTAGCTCGAAAGTGTTTTGTTAGCTGTGTTGCTACTGACGGTCATGTTGACAATTTTGTAGGGTTAATGCGGATCGAATGGTATCATGTAACTTTATAATACTACCACAACCCTAATCTAAATGTCAACCTTTGCACGCGTGTTTAATTTAACCTTTGACCAAAGGCCGTTTTTATACGCATTTTCTAATAAAAATTGTAATACATTAAATATTTACATTGACCATAGACGATGTGTTTTTCATAAACCATAAAATTAAGTGGCATTTTACACATAACTTAATACTAAAATGATAAAATGTTATAACATTCTTGTATATGTATTATTGTGCATTCAATTTCATTAATCCACTTGCTCACACTATATTATGTATAGTGTCAGACTATAGACTCTACAGGTATAGGATAATGTGATCAATACGAATTCTCAACATGCCTAACATAATATTAATACATATATCTTATAAAACATAATTTAATAAGTTATTGTTAAAGTACAACTTCGATTGTTGTATGCGTTGAGCATCAACTTTTACTTGCAAATAATATGAAGACTAAGGTACTAGAGAATGCGTACCACTCACACTTATGGCGAATAATAAATTTATTACAACTATAGTATTCCTTGAAGTACATTGTAAGATTATAGTCTGAGGATACGCCCAATACTGGTACTGGAACAAATACTATTAGTGGTTGTGCTATTGTGCTAGATAGCTGTGAACAGCGTGGAAAGCGTTGTTCACTTCCAACAAATTAAATCCACTCAGAGTGTCTGCTTAAGACACTTGGCCCGTAATTCAATTGGTTTAAATGCTTTCGGCGTTGAAAATATATTTAAGTTCAAGGTTGTTGGTTTTCCCCCATCAAATATGAAGTAATTTTACTGCCACAGAAATTATTTTTAATTTTAAAATATCGATTGATGACTGAATTTAATTACTTCCAATATTACACACAATTCGTATGCTTGTATAAATTATGCATATAGTGTAATTAATTAATATGTATCTACAATGTATTAATGCGAATTATAAAATGCGACAAAAAAGTTTCACTTAGGTAAATTTTAGTTGAGATGGAAATATACAGAATACCTATACTAAGTTTCAAAACTGTTTTTTTTAATTGTTTTTTGTGTTGATATTATATTTATGTAAAGAGTACAATTCTAGTTCGTTTCACCGATAAGAATCAATAAATTTGCATGTTTACCATTTATTAACTTTCGCATAACGTAGCCTACCGCTAGCATTAATAAATACCTGTTTTTAACATGTGTTGTTTCTCACCATATAGCTTGCTGTAAATCTTCCACTGCCGGAAAGCTGAACTTTGATACGGTTCTTTCTCAAAAAGTGGTACACGAAAATATATAAGTAGCAAATGACTTATAAATATCAAAGATAACTTTCAAGATTTATTATTTTATACATTCTCATTTCACGAAATAAATAAAATAAATAATAATTAAATTTTAATAAAACAATTATTATTATACACATTTAAATAAATAAATAATAATTATTTTTATATTAGTATCCCGATTGGAGAGGTTGGCAGCGCTGGTTAAACTTTAAAATTCTACAAATTCTTTTTATTTTCGAATACTAACTCGAAGCGTTTGAATTACTTTAAACCATTTTCAATACAATTTAAACGTTCTTTGTTCTCAGTTTGATCGTTTCAAAAAAAACCAATTAGAAATGTTGTTGAAATATATTGTCATGTGCGTAAAAAAATACTATATTATTTTATTTAGCAATTTTTATTAAAACTATTATGAAAGTAATTCTACCTAAATATTCCACGATATTTGAACAACATTTTTTAAACGCTAAAACCCTGAACAAAAAAACTGATTTAAAAATATTGAGAAATTGACTGACGACATTTTTAAAATACATCAACTCATTTGGTGTCTAGATTTTGTTACGATATTTTAAAATCATATTTTGACAGGAAATCAAATATTAATAACACAAAAGATTCAATA